ATATATATATATATATACATTTATTTATCCGTACTAGTGTACATTCGTTTATTTTTATCATCATTTGTTTAACAGGAAACAAAAGAAGGAAAAAAAAAAAAGTGGAGAGAAAATTGAGAGAAAGGACTTGTGGAGCGAATAGCGAAGGAGAACAGAAGGAAATTTGAGTTAAACGAAAAAAAAAAAGGGAAAAAAAAGGATACTCTCCGAAGGTTTTCTTTTTTCTTCCCCTTCCAAGGTTTGATGTCTATTTATTTATTTTTTTCTTTTTTTTTCCTTGCGCTTCGTTTGATTGATATTTCCTTGTCTTCTTCGTTGTTGTTATTTTGTGTTTTTTTTTTTATTATTATTATTATACTTGCTTTCTCACGATTGCCTCTTTTGGCTACATCTACGTTAAAGTACCTTTTTTTTTCTTGTTTTTTGCAGCTTTATTCGCATATTTTTATTCTCTTTCTTTTTTTGTATTTTTCCATGTGTTTATGTATGTATTTAAGTATCTATTTATTCTCTCTCTCTCCATCTCTCTTGAAGATCAGAGGAGTTTCTTGTGAATACTCCTTTGTATTATTTTTCATTTGCTCCTCTTTTCTTTCTTCCTTGAACGACTATCATTTTATCTATTTATTTATTTTCTTTTCCTTTTTTCCCCCATTTCACTCATCGCAATGCTTTTTTTTTTTTTTCTTTTTTTTTTTTTTACAATCACTCAGTCCTTTTATATATATTTTTTATTTTTGGTTTCTTCGTTCACATGCATACTCGTGTTTGCTCTGGCGAGGACGTTTGCTCCAACAGTAATACTTCAACTACTGTAGCAGTCGTAATTTCATTTTTTTTTTTTTCTGTATCTTTCTCTTTTGTGGATATCTGCTGTACTTTTTTCCTGTTCTCATTTTCTTTTTTTTTTGTTTTTATTTATTTATTTTTATTTTTTGCTCTTTGGTTCATGAAGAAGAATAGGGGGCTAGATAAGGGTATTTGATCAATATTATTATTATTATTATTATTATTATTATTATATCTACACAAGAATAGTTTAACCACCTTGACTATTGCTTCAATAGCAGAAAAAAACACTTTATATCTCTACTTAATCAAAAGGGACACTCTCGTTCGTTCGTTTTCTTCTTTTTTTTCGGTCTTTTTGTTGTTTGCGATTTCCGTTTTCTCCTCTCTCTATCCTCATCGCTTCCGTCACCCGTACTTCTCTCTCTGTCTGTACTTTCCATATCTATTCTCTGTGTATATATATATATATATATATACAGTTATAGATAACTATAACTATATCTCTGTTGGTGTCTATTCTGCCAATGTGGTCATTGCGAAATGTGTTTTCATTGACGGCTCTGCCGGACTGTGGCGCTGCTGCGGCGGCCATCACCCCGCCGGACTTTCCTCGTTCCATCCCACAGGGATCCCCCATGCAAGAAAATAATAATAATAATAATAATAACAGTAGTAAAGAAAGAGGAGAGGATAATAAGAAAAGTGAGGAGGTGCACTTCATTGCATCTCTCACGTACGCTCTCATCCCGGCCGTTACTCGTGAGGAGGCGGCTGTTGTTTTGTCGTGGGCGCTGGACGGCAAATGTGTGGATGGGCGAGCAGCAGCAGCGGCCCTCACACAGGTGGAATACTTCTTCGCAGGAACAGACAATGGGCAGCTGTGCATGTTTCCACTCTTCCCATGCGACCTTCGCCCATTTCTCACAAACACAATCATCACAGAACCCGATGCTTCTTTACCGCAGGAGTCATCATCATCATCAACAAGTAAAAATATAAAAACACCAGCATTTAATGGGAAAACAGGAAGACGTCGACTATTGCATCTTCATGGATGTGAGGAGCCAGTGGTGTCAGCGGCGGTGCTTGGTAACGTTATTGCCTCTGTGGCTACAGATGCATATATGCATTTAAGTTTTTTCCACCCAACACCACGGCATGTTGTCAGCATCGCACACCCTTCACCACTGCGTTGTGTACTTTTGTGGGATGGGAGTATTTTTGTAAATCGCGAAGACGATGCGCAGCGGCGATCTGAGATTTCAGAAGCAGAGGCTTCTGTCGTGTATGTTATTACAGGAGATGAGAGTGGTGTGGCCCGCATCTGGCGGGTGAATGTGGATTACAGCACGTACTTTCTTATTGCTGTGTTTGCCATTTCTACACCCACCGGCTGTGTTGGTTTTGCCTCTCCACTGCATTATCTTTCTCGTGAGGATCGTGACGCACGACCGGCCGTAACGCGACAAACTAAAATAATTCACTGTCTGGCCATTGATGATGATCAGCGGCTGCTCGCCGGTGTGGAAGGGGGTGTAGTTGTCTGGTCCCTCGCAGCACTCCCATGGAAACAACAGGAGGAAGATCATTTATTTTGTTATGATGATAATGGAAAGAATGACGAACAAGGACCGCAAGAGCAGACAGTTGTTACCGCAAGGTTACGCTTTCGTGCGGAGCGGTTGATGGATATGAGTGTTTGGGTAAAGGGAAGAAAACTATTACGAGAAGCTTTACACAGTGAAGATTCAAATGGGATTGCCGAATGTGATGAGGATGAGGATAATAATAATAATAGAGATGGTAATAATGACAATGGAAGCCGCCTTCCTTCTACAGTGATTCGAAGAAGTAAGTGGAAGCCCAAGTACGATACACACGTGGCGAATGGCTTCGATGTGGGTGTGGTGAGCAACATGGTAATAGTCCCATCACATTTGGTGAATGGCGCCTCCGCTGCCCAGTTCCTGCATGAAGCCTCTGTGCCTATTATATTTCCATCCCTTAAAAACACAGTTCACTTCCCACTCTCTGTAGTGGAGCCAGTATTCACCCCACTGCAGATTCTCTCTACCACCGGTAGTTCATGCTTTGCCATTCTCATTTTACAAAACGGTAAACGTATTGTTACGAGTGGCTCCGACAGTCGAGTTGTACTGTGGCAATGGGACGCCGCTGCAGGAAATTACATCATGACACTCGCATCGGAGGAAATGGAAGGCCATCGTGTGTTGGGACGACACCTTTGTCTTTTAAGATCACCGGATATTTTTATCTCATGTGGATATGATGGTGCTGAGGTACATGAATGGCATGTGTATGATGAACCAGAATTGATGATGCGTTGCGAACGACGCTTCTCTGTACGTTATATTAACCCGGATACAAGAGATATCTCAACAAGTCATACATCCTCAACCATAAAGTTGGAGGATAATAATAATAATAATATTAAAGAGAAGGATACTGTTTCGGGTATTGCGTGTGCTATTACATTTCCAACATTCTATGCTTTCTTTGTTGTTGGACTATTTGAGTGTACTATTCAGACCTTTGGTCTCTCTGAGGTACAGGGTTGTACGCCTCCAGAAGACTATGTTTATAATGGATTTAAGACTGTACGTGTAGTACTGCCAGCTAAATCAGATAGCTGATGTGATAGACTTTTTTTTTTCTTTTTTCTTGGAAAGAAGGGAAAGGATAAAATAAAAGAAAAAAAAATAAATAGCAAAAACGCTCCATCCATGTATTCTCAGAGAAGTCTATATGTATTCAAGTTCTTTTATTGTGTTTTTTTTTTTTTTTTTTTTT